CCGAATTGGACTCCACTCGGTCCTATTACCATTATTAATCACCATAGTTGCTTCATTTCGTCAATTATTATTTTCATTCTAGGCTTGGATCGTCCGATTAAAACTTTAAGGATCAAAGAAAAGAAGCAGATCATGATTTTCCTGAGTGGCAAAGATATTGGAGGTAGGCAGAAGCTCTTAACCCTTCACCTCCCATGATTGATCAAGAAAGAATTTCTCCTCACAATATCAATACAATATCAAGCATAGAAGTGATGAGAATGAAGAAAATATCAATTCCGGAATTATTAGTTGATCAAATACCAAATTCTCCAAATTGACATCATAAGAATTGTATGGCAGACAGTAAGGAGAATTACTAATAAGATATTGGGAGTTAAAGGGTTAACCAATATCCTTGTTTTGAAATTTTTGCATTTTCCTTCATGGAAATTAAACCTGCAGCTATTAAAATGATTCAAGCAGTTTTCCATGTTGTTCTTAATTTAGGTTATTTTTACTGGCAAAGTGTAGCGGAAGAACTTGGTTTCCAAAATGAGTCCAGAGGATGGGAAGGAGCTCAAAATCCAATTGAAAGCCTTCTCAAGGCATTTGGCGAAAAAGAGGGAAGCACCATTAGAGGATTGATAGAAGCTATCAGAAAAGCTGGGTTGACGCTTTGTGCGAGTCAGTTGGAAGATAAATTTGATACTCCAAGAAATGATACAACTGATTCTGTCCATAAAACTTTGGTTCAGAATGAAGTAAATGACAATTCTACCTCTGTTGATTTACCTTCAGATCCGTGTAAAGAGGATGGTGCAACTGAATCGGTGGAAGGTGAAATAAATAATAGGGCTGATTCTGTTATTAATGTACCTAAGTATGCGGGAGAAAAAACTGATGCGAATGACATTGCTGATACAGCTGTATGAACAACAATTCTGTATGAATAAGTAATGTTTTGCTAAATACATAGCCATAACCTTGTTTTCTTAGAAAGTTTCTTATCAGCGACTGAATTCCACGTTGCCATGTATCTGTTCCGTTGGTAACAGATTACGCTTACGGGGGATGGTGGGTAAGGTAATTGTTTACTGATTCACCAAAAGTCACCCAAGCCTTCCAGAAGTTTGAATCGAATTGATAGCTATTATTACTTTCTTTAACGAATAATTCCATCTAAAAAATAATGTGCGAATTTCAAGTTATTTACAAATGCAATTATTTATGCTGCAATTTTAATTTAACAGCCTCATGACCATTATAAATTTGAAATAATTTATGAAAATTTTGAGCGACGGCAGCAAAAATGTTGGATACATTATTCCTTTTTAAAAATCCAAACGAGAAAAAAATTGCTTCTTCGATATTTGAGTAACATGTATTGTTAAAAATGTGCGATCAGAAATTGGCACCACAGGTTTTGAATTATGCATTTGTAAGTACATTACATCTGTTTTGTTTTTGTTCATCTTTCTTGAAGTTTTTTTCCCTTGGTGTATTGCTGTTTGTTTTTTACCTTATTTGACTTGAATATTTGTGATAAAAAGATGGCTAATGCATGAACGAAGAAAACTATATAGTTCCTAATCATTAGATTTTTTAATAACCTGAATCTTCTTTTTCGTAAAAGGAACATTCCTCCTTTATTTTCGTACTTGGTAGATCCAAGCATTTTGACTAAGTTTACAAATCATTGTTTTTGTTTAGTGTTTTCAGTATCATTTTTACGAGGAATGTACAGGTTCGTAAATTTTAGAAAATGGTTACGAGTAGATACTTGCAAAAATGTGACCAATCAATCCAATGTAGATCCAATAAATTGAAGGACTTTTCTAACTGTTATTTTTTATCCTTGTGCCGGCTGACAATTGAAAGCACTTCATTGTGCATTGATAGTGTTCTTAGTATTTTTTCTTCATACATTTTAGAAAGTAATATATCAGAAAATGATTTAAATATACTTGTGAAATTGTCCTTAGCTTATACGTGAATGTTTGGATAACATTTCCTTTAGACAACAAATTGTCCTTAGCTTATACGTGAATGTTTGGATAACAGTTCCTTTTAACAACAAGTTGATTCAGTAAGTTAGTGAAACATAATTTCTATTTAAATTTGAAAAGACTCCAGTATAGTATCTAGAGAAAATACTTTTTCTTGACGGTATTTATGAGTTGGTTATCGGTTACATGTATCTACTAGCTCAGGTTGGTTCTAATTAAAATAACCGATATCGATTTGATTGTAGCTAATTACCCTTAACATAGAGTTAATAAAGTTAAATGTTGGTGCTGACCAGCCTGTATTTGATTAGGATCATTCAGAGTGCCATAGACAAGATTTCAAGATGACTTCATGAATCAATTTCGCCCTGCCTCAATTTCCTCCTTTGACTTAAACGGGTCGACACTCTTGAGGGTTGCTATAACTCAAAATTCTGAACAGTTTCCTTAACTTTTTTTGTTCAAATTAATGATCGACTTGATGGAAAAAAAAAAACCGTAGATTAGAGACATTTAACGGGAAAAATTTAGCTTGTACATCGCTGCAGCCGATACGTCGTTTACATCCTGCGGGTTGTTGCTACCGCCCAGCGATTGATTTCTGAGGCAAAATTGCGACGTTCAGCTATTTTTTACTCAGGAAAGTGTGTAATCTCATTAACTGTCTGTTTCCCATTCACATTTGCGGTGACACCAGAGTAAAAAAGTAAGTGTAAGACTCGAGATAAGCTGAAATCCCTTACCACTGGGCCGTCATAAAGTGGAGTTTCGAAGTTACATCTAAAGCATGAGAAAACGCTATCTAAAAGATGTATGTTTTGGGGTGTAATACCGTGTATAGAGAAAGAAATAAAAAGACAAAGAAAGCGAACACAGTAATCAGCAAGTATAGGGACATTCTCTCTTTTAACGAGGCGAGGCGTTATTGTTTTGATGCTAAGGTAACCGACCTATGCTTTCATACCATTGTAATCACAGGACACCGTTGTTGACATGAGATTTAACCATGCCGAAGATTACATCATGCATGAAAAAACAGAGTCGATCCTTCTGGGATATCATCTTGTCAGCCTTGAGAAGTGAAATACAAACCTCGTAATTATAAATATATCATCAGAATAAGAAGAAAGATATAGAAGATTCGATCCATTGAGCACCGCCTTCGATCGGTTAGGAAAGGCCGACAGATGGCAAAGTCTAAAACGCAAACAAGATCAGGCATTGAGATAGCTTTTGATTGCTTTTTGACTGCACGCGCCACGAAAATAGAAGCGTGCGTGCATATTTCACAGAACTCGAAAACAAGAGCCTGTCACCTGCACTGTCAGTCAACAGTCAAGGACCGTCGAGGAAAATTACAGCGCTGACATAACAGGAAAAAACCCACCCACTTACCTTCAATATTTTAACGATGAACTGTAGATTTTTTCATGAAATTGCTACGCTCTGTCAGAATCTTCAGTTACTGGTGCTCATCTTCGAAATGGCATGCATAAAAATTGGTTTCTTCCATTCGCCAGCCACTGCAAAGCAATGCAACTGAAAATGTGTACAACGCTTCAAGATAGCTTAAAGTCTTTTTGAAAATTGAACCGAATGCTTATCTTGGTAGGTTTGTGACTCGTAACTCGGAGCGATGAATTGAGTTCAGGATGTGCAAACGAAAACTTTCTTTGATTACTTACTTGCTTGGTTCCAAAACACTCGACAAACTGTGCACAACGTACGCTTTCCCTTGTCGATAGCCTAAAGCTCCAACACATTCACATGCTTCTCTCGGAAGTATTGAACCTCGAATCCTTGAAAGTTTCTTTGATTGGAAACTTCTGTATTTCTTGTAAATAATCAGGCTGTGCTAATTGCTAGGCGCTGAATCGTAATTCAGGTCTGGTCGACTCGGTCTTGAAGCGATGTGCATGTCATGTGATTTAAATTTTGACGTTTTGGCGGTCGGAAGTATCACCAACTTCCGGTCGTTTTAATTCAAGGGAATTTGATATTTAAAATTCATTTATCACCTGGGGAGGGTTGACAGGTTGTGTCAACACAAAATTTACCTGATCCCCCCACAATGGTCTATAATGTGTTTGATTTCTCCCTAATTGGCAATCAATTTGCAATCAGTTTTTTGTTTAAATAGTCCCTCTTTGTACCCTTTTGGCAAACGATTGACCTACTCTGTTTCCCCCTCCCCGGTGAGAAATGTGACGAATGGTCTATTATGGTCTATTATGGCTACTGTCTTTCAGTCATTTGACTTGATAATCCACTCGCTTGCCCTAACGATTGCCACAGAATGAAGACATTTCTCAGTTGGATAATATGCCTATTTCATGAGGTGGGTATAGCTAGAAAAAAAAAGGTTTCGAGTGACCATTAACAAAATTTACATGGGTTTCAAACGAAAAACTTATATATTTGAATTTTTCAATTTGTTAAGTTGCACAATCAAAAACCGTGGTGCACCTTGGCAGGAAAAGTAACTGCATTGTCGCTATTGAAGTTGCTGGCTCAGTTGAACGTAACTCTTCTAAATGAGCACAGTTGCTTATAGAGCATAGTACCTAATGAAATAATGTTGTGTTAGTTGCGTCAGTAAAAAGGTGACACAAACTTTTCTGTCCTTGAAAAATAATTTTATCAAATCCACAACACGATTGTGATTGAAATATCGAAGGAATAAATAAACCGACAAGAAAACCAAGTCACCGACAATGGTATTAATGAAAGTAATCCCGCCAGGAGACCAACAGGAAACATCTTAATCGCAAATAAATTCAAATGCTTCTAAGCTTCTTGTGTTAAGAAAACTCAGTCATTCGATGACCTTTGTGATGGTTACCGGTAGTGTGATAGTTCGCCGTTGTCGGGACAAGGAACGAGAAGTTCTGTTGCAAGTGAGTATTTGTAAAGAGCTAAATGCTAGGGTAAGGAAAGCTGCACCCGATCACACATTCAGCTTTACATTGCATATACTTTCCACAATAACACTGAGGAAGGGTGAGCAATTTTATTCCACTTCTTTGTTTACAATTTAAATTCTTCATTCTATGCAATTTCTATACATCAAGATGTTCGATTCCGAACTAGGCTACTCAACGACTATAGCAAAATTTTCTTTCAAAAAAATGCATTTTACGTTGAGCTCTACGTTTCAACAAAGCTAAGAAATATTTACAAAAGTATTTGTTAAAATGTCCTTTCCAACTATTACCTATAGATCGATAAAAAGTTTAACCACCTAGCATTTACTTTACAGTCGTCAATAACAGTTTAATTGAGGCATGGATATCGCTCATGAAAATTCGGCACGTTCCTGGACTGCACACGCAGTTATAAGGCTTCCACGACCCACTGACCTGTTCAAATGCAGAGTAATCAGCACAATTAGTTTTACGTTTCTCTTACCCAGAGGCAAAGAAAATCAATTTGTAGAGAGGATGTTAATATCAGTTTTGAGAACACTTTGTTAAAGTCCCTTCAACGTAGAGATTGTCCTATAGTGGTTTTCTTTCCTTTGTTTTCAACTTGACCAGAGAAAGACTGTTTCTCTCTTTTCTCCTCTCATTCAAGGGATTAGGTCATAGCTAATTCTCATAGTTCTTGTGAGACCTCAGCGGGTGTATTTTCTCGCGTTTTTTTTCCTCCAGGGCTTACAGACATTTTGTACTGACTTCAGATTGGCTTCGCGCTGGGTTCAATCAAGCTGAGGAAGACATCGATTCGATAGAGTAGACTTTCAAGTTTTAGGCATTCTTTACTTGGATGTAAAAGTAGGTAAAAAATGGGTGCGTTTGAACAATTCCAACAATAGTTAAAATACACTCTTCAAGCGGACAGATAACGAGGAAAACAAAAATACCTAGTAAAGGTTATGAGTTGATTTTACACCAAAATCGTTCAGCTAAAGAAAGTAGACTAGCATGGCAGATAAACAGGAGTATTTAAAGTTAAAGTAATTTTTTCTTTGTTTCAAGAGATTGATGAAATCAGCTTGATAGTTATCAAAAGAGAAGAAGAAAGAGAAAAAACCTCTTCAAACTTTCAGGCTTACTTACCGAATATCCCCTCCTCATTGACTTCTGATACCAAAAGAGCAACCACGAAAATAGCGCTTGCAAATTGTGTAGTTGTTATCATGATAATTATAATCAACAAACTACTTGTAGGCATCTGTACCGGACGGAATCTCCTGGAAAGGTAATACAACTTTAAAAGGAATCATTTTGACGGTGCTTTCTCCTCAGAGATTTATTCAAAAATATTTCTTTATACATTCTGCAATCCGTTATACTAAACTCCTTTCTCAACAACCCCTGATATTTTAGGAGCTTTGCATGTTGAATATAAGGCTGTGCTCGTTCGATCGAAGCAGACTAGTGTGACTAGAGTTTGAGGTTCGATTCCTCACTCAGAATTTTTTCTTTGTCCCACGGTCGTGACAAAGACGGGAACACCTTTCTCTGTTTCTTTACCGCGCTCAGAACTTACCATCTTTCCTATGCTGTTTACAAAAATGACGTTATCGAAATTGCTGATCCTAACAGTATGCAGGAAGCGTGTCATATGAACTTCGTAATAGATCTCCCTCACCATAGAGCATCGGTGGTAGAGCATCGTAGCGCGGAATCCGAAGGTCTGAGGTTCGACTCCTCATGGGGACTCAGAATTTTTTCTTTGTCCCACGCACGTGATAAGACGAAAAAACCTCTTTCTCTATTTCTTTACCGACCTCAAAGCTTACCATATGTCTTATTCTAGTGTGACTTGGATTCCTTAAAAAGGCAGAGACGTTTCTTTTGCTCGGTACGAACGGTCATACGTATGTAAGATGGTCTCTCCCAGCTGCGATTAATCTACACTATTGCTGAATTGATCGACAACTTATAGCAAAATTTGAGGCACTAAAAAAACACTTAACTAAAGCAGCACGTAAGTTTTAGCTTACAAAAGCAAAATGTGACATTCAAAGGTCAACGCTTAACTTATACATGCTCTGTAAATGTAAGTGTACGAGCGTATTCCTGATCGTACCTTGCTGAAACCCAAATCTTGTTTAACCACTTGGTCTTCTCAGTCTAAGTCTTCCCTTGCTGCTGGTCTACTCCTTTGGCAGAAATGGCGGAAGAACAACTGATATTCTTAGTAATTGAAAACCTGAAGTAAAAAAGGGACGGCCCTATGAAAAACTGAAAAATTATTCATCGCGCGCGATTCCGCTTAGAGGCTGACCAATGAAAACAGAACGTTCTCACGGTTCCTATGAACTTCCTCAAATTACTAACAAGCTTAGATTATCCTGCTGTGTATCTCTCTATATAGGGAATCTCTAGGAAGGAAACGAAAACCCTCAAACGATCAGAAGTAGTTGGCATGTTCATCTGAAATAACAGTCTACTGTGACAAAGTGTTACGCTTTTGTGCAATCACACTGTTAATCTACGCTTTAGCCGATCTTTCTGGGTAATATAGTGATGTGACTTTCCATGAAAGCAGACCTTTGCGTAGAGCAGTACACCGGCGAGCCTTTGTCAGGTTTTCACTTCCTATCCATGAGTATAAGGCTGGTATTTTGATTGTGTTACGTAGCCCAAATTTCCATAGTTTCATACACTTCCGTAGGATTTAATTGCTCCCGCTTTTGTACTTAGTTTGTGAGCCGTGGAATAAATAAAACCATCATAATTAATACCAAAACCCATCTTATTTTCCTAGACTTATTAAAATGTGTGCAAAATGGAGATAACCACTTAAAACTGATTTAACCTCATAACGCTTGTCTGTTTTCTCGTCACGTGCGGAAACGCATGCATGCCAATTCCCTCATTTGAAAGGGATACCACGAGTCAAGAAGAAAAAACGTTTTAACAGATTGTTGTAACCTTTCCCTTTCTAAATTACCATAGTCTTTCTGCTCAACTTGTCAGTCACGCTGCCGTAAAATTCGGCTGTTAAAGACCTTGTTTATTCTAACAAGGACGTTGAAATTTTCTTACTTCTTCGTGAATATATTTTAAAACTACAATTTTCTCCGTCACTCTCCCTTTAATCATAATAATAATAACAATTCTAATTGCTTTTATTGCGCATTTTAACATTAAAAACTATGATAAAATGCGCAAAACACTCGGAAAAGACCAAAAAAAAAGTTATATTGCATGCTCTCAATGAATTAAGTTTTGAACCTGAAATTGCGAAAGTGATAATTGTAAAAAGGATTTATCTTTCAGTGCGAAAGAACATCAAAATATAACTCCTAGGTCGAGATAAAATTGTTTACTCAAGATACGCCAGATTGTGGTGCATGAAGACAATTAATGTTGGATTAGAGGTAAGTGTGCGCTAAGATCCTATAATCTCATTAACTTCGATCCTCCTGAAGAAGTGCGGAAAGTTGCTGAGATTGCTGTGACATGAACGTATTTAAAGGCCTTGAACGTGTCTATCTAATATATCAGAAATATTTCTATATCGATGTCAAAGGCATTAGATAACGTGTTTTTGGACAGACCCCATGAGTAATACAATCAGTACCTGACACGCAATATATACCAGAGATCTTTGTGAAACTTCAAAGCCAGTTGTAGGTGAACATCTTAGACCATAAACCCATTGTTTCACACAACTAAATGAAAAAAAAGTAAACCTATTACCAATGTTTTGGAAATAAGCATACCCATTTCCAAGATTGAATACAATTTTTAAACCATGTATTTAAATAAAACATAACGCACCTCAGGTGCTCAAATCTTCCTTTCCCCTTGAAGGTGTGCGAAGAGGAAATGGCCCAGCCGGAGCTCGAAGCGGTAATACACTCTGACACCTATGTCAATTATCACTGAATACAGCGCGCCTTGATTCTCCGAGAATGCAACCTGGTCAAAAATGTGCGCCAGCTCAAAGGCGCTCTCAAAAGTACCGCCTTTGGCTATCCGATATTGAGACGGACAACAAACCGGTCTAAGCTGTGTCCTCTTTGATATTTAAGACAAAAATTGTTTTTTTTATTTTTGCCAAATAAAGACAGAGGTAAGGAATCCAAAATAAAATACCAAATGCAACAAGCTTTCTAGAGATAATCTGTTAGGATAACACTTACTTTGACTTTATAATAACAAGAAGATTAACGACTTTCAGTTGATACATTTTTCGCCTTAATCTTCAGCGTAAGAGAATCGTTTCAAAGTAGTTCAAGTGGCTTATTTGATATCAAACATCATGCGACCAAATCCAGTTGGCTCGATTACTTATGGCCTCGCTGAAACTAAGAAAAGCACAGTCCCCCACGTTGCTCAAAAGTATGGCCTTCCAATAAAAATACCCCATCAATAATCAGCAATTTCAATCAAATTACTCAATAGCTCGATTTCTTTAAATGGTACCTGGTAGGTCGTTAGATAGGGAAATAAAGTTATTTATCTCAGCGCCTTGCCTCCAATTTAGACCCCTCTGCGAGGACCCGAACATTTCCGAATGCGTCTGTACGCACTGATCGTTCTTTCTCAGTCAATACAGTTGTTATCATTAGATTACCGCAACCATTGCATGAAAAGTGGCCATCTGGTCACTTTCAGAGCTCTTGGTTCGTTAGATAACTCTTAAAACACTAATTAGTACTTCTGTCGGATTATGGAACCTCGACTGATTAACTATACAAAGCTTGCATGTTTCAGCAGGGCACTGACATCTAAAATCAAATGATTTCAATTTGATTGTATTCCATATTTTGGACTGCACGCTAAACTTTCAATCCACCTCATTTTCATTCAAAATTACCAGCCAAATATTTGATCATAGCTTTGTCTGCCGGTGCTATTCGCGAAACAATTGATGCACATGGGTATATTGCAAGTTGATGACAGCTGATTGGCATCGGACGCACAACTCCTGGGTGGTCAAACAGACCACAAGTGCGATTATCCCATCAATTATTACACCTTGTTTACAGCTTTTACAGTGAATAATCCTGTTAAAGAATATCTAAATTATGTGAATTATGTAATTTTACTGTCAGGCCTTTAGCACTAAGAAGGATAACTTTCTTTTTTTTAAGGATAACTTGAAAAGAATCGAATTTGGTCCCTAGTTTGATTCCGATCGTTGATAAATCAAAGTGTCTCAAAGTAATTCTTCAAGGAAGAGGGTCCAATATAGGTTTGACGGAATGCGGAATGAGACTTAAAAACCGAGGCGGGATGTGGGATGCGTTTTTGTGTTTCATCAGTAGAGACCGTTTTTTAAGCCAGCCAAATATGCGTTAAGCAAGTCTTTACCATTCTCTACAATGAGAGTACACTATTACATTGTAAAGGCTATTATTTGTCCATCAGTTGGTGATGAACTCGAGCAACTAAGGTTTAACCAGACGGGATCGGGATGAAAATGTTCATCGCAGCGGGAGGGCGGAATGAAATGAAAAGCAGCGATGGGATGCGGGATTAAAAAATCTACTTTGGACCCTCAAGGAACCGACCCATGATTTCGTCATTGTAAAACATCTTTGTTTCCCTAAGTGGCTATCCGTCGCCTCTCCAGCCAGGAAAACCGCTATTTAGAGTTTTGTTTCCAAATAACGACAGCTTTCCGTGCTATAAAGGATAGACACCACAAAACACCGAGATACAATATGTTTTTAACGGTAAGTTTATCAATACTCAAAGTGTTTTGCGAATAGCTTACGACACACTCAAGCAAACAAAGTGATCGGACACCAAAAAACCTGTTTCTCAGTTGACTTAACGTGAAATGTAAAATACTTGTAGATAGAAACACATACCAAAAAATAGGGCTCGGAATTTTATACTAGCGCTAAAGGACTATATTGTACTTCGCCAATAACAGCAGATAAATTAAACGCATATATAATCAACTGTTTACAAGTTAGGCGTACCTTTAAGTGACGAGGGTTTGTAACTGTAAGTGCTATCGCATTCAGTATTTTAGAATTCGCGAGAGCTAGTTGCTCAGAGCTTATCATTAGATGTCACCCCAGTGATCGGATATCATTTCTCGATGTCTGTCGTTTCTCGATGTCTTAAGACTTAGCACCATGCTGTCAATTTCAAAGATAAGGCAAAAGATGATAAGTTTGTTTAAAACCCGACCGCTTAAGCGATAATCGATTTACGTGACCTCAGACGAAACCCAGCCAGTAGGAGACAAATTTAAAAGAATAAACTGGGGACTGGACTCACTGTTCTTGGACCTTCCAAAGACTATTTGAATGTACTTTGTGACCCAGGATTACGCGGAGCCGAGACTGAGACTATTTGGATGCTACCAGCTGATTTGAACTATTTACTGCACAGTCAGTTTGGCTCTGAAACATTTCATATCTGTCAAGGCAAACTCCATGATAAGAGTATTTTTATTTCAAACCATCTGTTTCTGGGTGTAAATTGATCAATGTCGACAACTTTGAGTGTTCACTCTTGCTTAAACTAAACGTCCATGATATATTTTGGAAAAAATTCGTTTCTCTCCGCGTTTATTTTATGTGTTAAGTTTATAATCAGAAAATATTTAATTTTTGAAAGCTTCTTTTCAGAATGACGACAGCCACCTGATGCCCTAAAACAGTTCCTACGTAGACCATTACTGGGTAGTCTCAGAGAATAAATTACGGGTAACGACCATCAACTCTCTGCTTAAGCGTGAATGCATTTAACGAAATATTACTTATACTTTACCTCAAAAAGTGACTACAAAAACAGTATGGCTCTATATTTCAAAATCATTCAACCTTAATTTCCAATAGGCTGTCAACCTCTCAACGTCGTACTGACCTAAAAAGTATTGATATGCTCATTACATCTTTTGTTTCGTCACGCTCTTGTTGCCGTCGCCTTCGTGGTTTAATTAGCTCATGGATATTGTGCCACAATTTATTCAAAGTGGTAAGTGGTGTTAATAAATTCTTCTTATGGATATGACAAGAAATTAGTATAATTGCTCCGGCGAATAGAAGCCAGTAAAGATGCACACGTTCTGATCCGTCGAGGATTCCATCATAACTCGTTGTTATCACCTCGTGCAAATTGATTAAACCAGGGGTATTAAAATGGCTTCCTCGTGTTTTTTCGATGTTAAAAATACTACCGTATTTATTCGATTAAATGCTGCCCTCGATTAAACGCCGCTCTTGAATAAACGCCGCATTTTAAAGCAGAAATATTAATGAACACCGCCCTCGAATAAACGCCGCATCATCTTCCGGCGTTTATTCAAATGGTAGACTCAAAAAGCTCACAGCGATCAGTGCTTCGATCACAGTTAGAAATTTTGACTGAACCAGGCACAAATCCTTTTGAATGTACCAGTTCTGATATCGAGAAAGCATATTTGACACAAGATCTTTGTTCACTTCATGTATTGCAGTACTATTAACTTACAAATTGTGAAATTGAGAACAATGTAACAAAATACATGACTTTTAAACAAACACTAAAACATGTTTCTGTTTTTTAAGATGAAAATGGTCAGTTACCATATTGCTGTTTGGATTTTAAATGAACGCCGCCTTCGAATAAACGCAACAATCGAATCACGAAAAATGGAATAATTACCGCGGCGTTTAATAGAGTACATACGGTATGCTGAAGAGCTAAGTTTGGCGTTACACTTTTCAAAAGAAAGATATGAAGTTTTTGGTGATTGACCTACATAAACCTGTCAAATTCTTATCTCGATATGAGATATCAGGACAGTTGTAACACAATGGCTTAAACATCAAAAGGAATTTACAAAATGATTCGAAAGTACCCGTGCAATTATACTAAACAATTATTCGCCTCAGGCTCAGTAGATTTTGTTGGATATTAAACGAAGAAACGACGATAACTGGATTGCCGTATATTCTGTCATTTTATAAACAGACAAGTAATCGCTTTTTTAATGAAAGTTTTCCACACACTGCGTTTGTTATCTGAGACGACTTAATATATTATATCTTGATGACTTCATAATTTTTTTCAGTTTTTGTCACTTTTTCTGAGGACATAATCTCAATGGTTGTGTAATCTCATCCTTCCAAGTGTCAAGACTGCCGTCCTCTCTGCATTAGGCATCAGATATGTTTGTTCCACAATTCCATCAAACAATTAAACAATTTATGCCTCCATCGTCAGTCTTTTAAAGCAAATTTTCCCTTTCTTATAATTTTCATGATTAATTGGTAGTAAGACTTCGTGTTGACCAATTCCGTTCATATATACTCGTGATAAACAAATCGGACGACCCTGCGTTATCACCCTTATGATTACAGACCGAGTTGGACTCCACTAAATCCTATTACCATTACAAATAACACCAAGCTCAATAATTTAATTACCTCATAAAGTTTTCTCGGTTACTCACCGCTTTGTGCCTTACCTTACCTTATGCAACAGAAGACTGTGAGCTCAGAAAGGGCGCTTATTTTGGATACCATCAAAAATATCGCAAGGAAAATTATTACTGTAAATTTGCATTTTGCCAAGGTCAGCGTGAACGAGAAACGCACTGTGGAATTTGATCATCACCAATGAACAATTGAATAAGAAAGTGACCAAAATGAACGTATGGATGAAATCCTTTTTTGATAACGTATAATAGGCTTGTGGAGCGAGCAACATCACAACGACTTAAGAATATGGCCATAGAATTTACTTTGAATTCACCTGTTTGAATGTGATTTATATAATTGATATGGCCCAGGGAGGGGAAGATTTTAATTTCTTTATAACGTATCATCATCATCCTACCATTTTACCTCAATCTTACTCCATTTATGTTTTTTTTTTCCTTTACCACTAAAAATGTCACAGTAAGTCAGGAATCACGTTCTGTCTTTTTATTCTCCCTTAAGACGTTAAAAGTTCCCATAAACCAAAGCGAACCTGGAAACTTTGCCTATCATTTTTTCTTCATTGATAATTACGTAAGTCTTCTTACATAATTTTTTTTTTCTTTTTTTTCTTTTTACCCGGTTTGATTTTAGACGCCAATTTGACAGATTTTCAGCTTACTTTTTCAAGCAAGGCCGTGACAAATTACGTGAGCCTGGATGTTCAAAGTTGTGCAGAACCGCTGACGGCTTTCACTGTGTGCTTGTGGTCGAAAAATGTCAACATTTCGTATGGTGGATGCCTTTTCAGCTACTCGCTAACAGAAGAAGCCAACGAAATTTTAATCTGCGACTACGTTGACCAATTCGTTTTTGGTGTTAAAGGAGACATAAGGTAAGAGATACGGACTCAGGTTTTTTTTTAGCAACATGAATAAAATTCCCTTTCATTTGATAACACTTGTATCAGATCATTATACAAATGGCAAGAGGGGGATATGTGCTCCCTACCCCCCTCCCTCTAAAAAAAGAATTTCCAATCTCCCCCAGTCTCCCAGGCGATGGATAATTTTGGTCCTTAAACTGATTTATAGCGTTGATGATGTGCAGAACCGCTGTCTTTTTATATTGCGTGCCCGCGGTCAAAAAAGGAAAAGTGTTAACATTTCGGATTTGCGAAAGTTTCATGTTTTTTGCTAAAGCCGATGGGAGGTTAATGATACGGAATCAATTCATTTGATTGTAATTGACAATGAATTACCTTTAAAAACACTTGTATCAGATCTGTCCACAGGAGCCTTTGGTAACATGAGCACGCAAAAACTAGGAACTAGAGTCGCTCCATCAGAGTCTATCTTGGTTTCCAAAGTGCGAAACGACTATGAGCAATGCTACCCGTTCTAAATGGAGTACTTATCTATAGAAAGTAATCCTCAACTCTCTTACGCAACGCATTCGCCCGAATCGCCCCTGATATGCATCCCCACAATCACCCCACCCACTCCTCCCTCAAACATGTCATAAATTTTTCGTGCGGTTTCCTAGTAATTATTTAAACTCTCTCTTGTGTCTCCCACAAAGCTAAGGAATAAATCAGCTTAGTGTGATCAAGTATTTACAGATACTTATGTATAAATAATTATTAATAAGCTAATCCTCTTCTAGTGATATAGATGTGCCTCATAGTGCAAACGTATTCCTACACATATGCGCCTCTTGGGAGAACGCCGCTGGATCGTGGAAATTTTATTTGAACGGCTCACTTCTACAAAGTGGCAGCGATTTTCTGACAGATGAAGTGATCCCCAGTAATGGCATTGTTATTCTGGGTCAGGATCAAGATGACTATGGCGGAGGATTTGAGCAGGAACAAAGCTTCGTTGGTCAAATGCACGGGGTGAATATGTGGAAGAGAGCTCTGACGGCTGAGGAAATTTATGAATTGTCGAAAAATTGTTCTTATGGAGTTGGCAATTTTATGAGTTGGAGCCATTTTTCATCAGGTTTAAACGAAAATGTGACCCTTACATCTCCAATTACTTGCCACCCATAAGGTGATTTCCAAGTACGCAGAAGTGTTTTTGTTGATGATAATATGATGATAAAGTTTCCTAAACCAATTTCGAATACAAATGCAAGTTAACCAAGCATACACTTCTGTGTCGAATATTTTATTACACCTTTTAATATCTTGCGTACCAGTGGAACAAAATATGGAACAGGAATGAACAACGCGGGAGCCGGCTTTGTGCGACCACCGCTACGACAACATAAAAGGGGAAATCGGGCATGTTTTACTCTTAATGAAACTGTAAACGAGTAGATGTTTAGGGAACTGTCCGTTATGATGGATATGCGACATGTAGCTATTTCCGAGCACCATTTTTCTTAGTAATTTTTCACGAGAAAAAATTAGTGTAAACGTATTGTAATAAAAATCATCCTAATCACAGATCTACGTTAATTCGCTCTTGCTTCTCTTATTCTCGACAATGTAAGTCCTTTAACTAATTTAAAACTAAAGAAGAGATGTTTTATTGAAAAAAAATTTCAAAAAATTCCGCTGAATCATTCCTGACCAGTTTCTCTTTCAAAAAATATCCACCTTTTTGAACGAAATTAGGGTTTTTTGAGCCCTTGTGGCGGTTTTTCTGCGGTTTATATCGGATTTGAATCTCATTGAACTGAATCTCATGAAATAGAAAATATGCATTTCTCGGCTTTAGCAGTTTCACTCCCAAAACTGAATCTCATGAAATAGAAAATATCTATTTCTCGACCTCAACCATTTCACACCCAAGATCTCCAACTTAATTACTTTCTGGTATGCAATTCTTATGATGTTAATTTGAAGAACTTGGTTTTTGATCAACTAATAATAATCCCCTGATTGATATTTTTCTTTATTCTCATTGCTTCCCTGCTTGATATTGTATGTATGTTGCAAGGACCACTCATGGGAGTTAAAGTGTTTATACTCTGCCGTTTCGATTATATCTGTTGTAATAACTTGTAACACTTAGGTATCCTAAGTTCTCATCATTAAGCTATTTTAGTAATTTTCTTAGCTTCTTTATGTATTGCGTGTTTATTTCTATTGTTGGAATAGATATATATTCTTTAACAAGGCCTCACTGAAAATAAGGTTTACAACGAACGCGTCTGGTAAAAAATTAATACCATCATTCTCATTAGGAGAAGTTTAATTACTAAGCTAATTTAGAAGTATAATTTGCACCTTAATTCTAGCTATTGTTGTGTTGCACACTTTTCATAGCTCAAACAATTGAGCACTGTTTGAATCTGTACTAGTATACTACCACCTTTTGGATGATAAGAGTTCTTTGCTTATAAATGATATAGATCGTATCGTTGGCAAGTCAGATCAAATAACTAAAGAAAATGACGTAAAGAGACCGTGTGTGTCTTTGGAATGATGTAGCTGGTTATATCTCTTTAATCTGGCAAGAGATTAACTAAGGCTAAATGTAATTATTTTGTATAAATTTTATGTGGTTTCACCCTCTAGTTCATTATTTTTTAATTTCATCTTTGCTTTCAGTTCCACGGCAGAATCATTTCGTGTCTTACAGCTTTCAATGAAAAGTTCTACTCGTTAGCCAGTTTAGATTCTCCCTCTTAAACACAGGATTGAAAAAAGAATTTCAAAATGATTAATACTTCAGCTATTTGTTTGCGTGCAAGATGTCTGATATTCTACGGAAAGTTGCCTTCACGAAAAATTAGCAGTATGGTAATGCTAACTTTAAATTTTAATGCGAAAGCAAATTTTCATAAGCCTTCTGACAGCTCATTAAACACTTCTTAGTCCGTATTGTCACACATAAAGTCATGTAGCTGTCTTTTGGGCGTTTGGTTAGGATAGGACTTTGAATGAGGTACAGTATCTCAGTTTGAATATCATATCTCATATCACTTAATATTTAACTTTTAATATATTTGTTATATCAGCCGATATCATTTAATGAGGATCGAAACTCTAAACTCTGAAAGGGACTAATGCGCTTGGGGTAAGGGACAATTATCAGTCGAGCAAGACACAGACTCCGAATTGGAAAGATTCTTCACTCAGATTGACTTAAAGACTTACAGCCGACCGAAAGACAAACAGGCTGACTCATCCATGACTGATCAAATTACTGACCAAAGTACTAAATTTACGACGTACAGACAGAGAGACAGACCGACCGATCGACCGACAAACAGATTGATCACATTAATGTCTACCTGCTTCTCGCCTGCCTTTCTGCCTGCGTGCTTGCCTGCCTAACTGACTTAAACCTACCTCCCTATCTGACTCACTGCCTGTCTGCCAAGCTAGCTGATAGAGTGCCTGCCTTCCTGCCTGTCTGCCTAACTGTCTGACTGCGCAAGTGGATGTTAATGATGAACTTATTAGATAAACTCAGCAACTGACACTCCAATGTAGGTGGATGTAAATAACAGAGTAATTTGCAAAACTAAATATTTAACACTATTGTTTATGGTCGATTCAGTAGGAAAAATGCCGCGTATGTTTCACTCTCTTCTTCTCTTGACCTTTCACCTGAGCCTCGTAACTGCTGAGAATCAATGCAGGACAGAAGTGAACATGCCCGGTGTCGCTCTGAGAGGTTTTGTGTTTAAGAACATGACAGTCACAGCTCCGAGCAGGTGCGATGCCAAATGCTTAGGTGAAATAACCTGCCAAAGTTATAACTACCACATGGAGAAGAACATTTGTGAACTGAACAACCGAACCAAAGAAGCAAGACCTGAAAATCTTCGCTCCAACACTTCGTGGTTTTATATCAGAAGATTAATTGAAAGAGGTAAAAACTTTCCTAAAATAGATTTTTTTTCCTCAACTGAAACGAATTTAATATGGTCGTAAAAAGTACTCTTTGAGAAGTCCTAAAACGTATAACCTTTGGGAGTAAATGAAAACAAGTTTTTATAGTTTATAGGGAGTTTAGTATTTTCAACTGAGTTGATAGCCTAAATTGGCCTCTGTAAAGAGAATCAAAGCCGACATTTCGAGCGTTAGCCCTTCGTTAATCGTTCTGACGAAAAAACAAACTATAGTATGCGTCTCTAAGAAGGTATTTACTTCATTCTCAGTTGAATTACGCGAATGGAACTCCAGATATTGAAAGGGTTCATTTCATGCGTCTCGATCTTCAGTCATTTGCATTTGCTAACGGCGTAATATCTACTTTCTCCGATGGAGCCAAAAACACTGCGGGTTATATGAAATAAAGCGCCAATACATCTTTCGACTACTGAAATAGTACCATAATTTCTAGAGTCATATGCTGTCTGAGTTAATGAAGTAAATCACGATTAACAGCATGAATTAATTGATTTATCCGCACGTCCATCGGCAACCAGTTCCCCTCGGTTCCATTCCAGAATTGGCAGCATCATCTTGCCAGGAAGTGAAGGCGAGCGAAGGTCCTGGCATCATCAGCACTAAATACTGGTTGGATCCAAATGAGAGTGGAAAGCCATTTTTGTTTTACTGTGACATGAACCGAGAAGGTGAGTCGCCTTAAATTTATTAGTAATAAAGATAGGGTACTTCTTTCATTCTTTCTATTAGTCCACTTGCCTGAGCCTTTTTAATTTATCGACGCAGAGGGGTGAGTGGGGAGGAGTAGTATGGAGGATTTTGGGTAGATCACATGGTTTTCAGGGGAAATGGAAGGGGATCAGTCGTCTTTCTCCGACATGGAGGTGGATTATAGGATATTGACTGCTAATTAAGTGCCAACCGGGCGGGGGGGTTCATGTTCATATGGATATAACAGAGCCTCAGGGGAGGGAAAATCAAATAAATATTATGGGAACACAACCAAAATCCTCCAAACTTACAAAGACGTAGATATAGACGTAGAAAAATACATAGAAAAATAATAACGACAACAACAACGACAAAAACATACGAAAAAAAGGATCAAGTTAATTATAATTTTCTTCTTGTAATCATGGTACCTTTGAAACAACCGGTGCCGCTCAACTTCTTTCAAGTCCCTAAAATGATCTTTCTTTGAGAAGGACAACCTACAGTCATAACTTATCTTGCAGATCCTGCATCAAACTTCCAGCTTTCTTTTGACGACAAATCCGTCTCAGATTACGCACAATTTTATATGGATAGTGATTTTTCTCCGCTTAACGCTTTCACCTTGTGTCTATGGATGAGGCCTGCTTCTCAATTGGATAGTAGTTGTGTTTTCAGTTATTCACTACCAGACGAGCAAAACGGAATTCTGATTTGCGACTACGTCGAGAGTTTGATGTTTGTGATATACGGCTATATGAGGTAATAGTTACTTTGCGATAATATATCATCTGCTTGCACGATCAATTAAACAACTGGATAACTGAGGAGCTTTGTAAACAACTATTATGGGCTCAAATTGTATGAGAGTTGTAAATTGTATGGGCTCAAACTGAAGCCTACAAGCGCATTTTCTGCCTCCTTTTAGCTAAACAAGGTCACGCGAAGGCATACGGCAAACGGTAGCCGAAAATATTTAGATCAAAGGACGTAAAAGAGAACGAAAGGAATCCTCATAATGCTTTTTGACTTCTCTGAATAGGATGCTAGTATGGTCTCTCAGCCGGGTTCGCTGTCACATGATTTTTTTAAAACACTTCTGAGTACCGCGAGGTTAAGCGTTGTAGGAGCAACATATCCACCTTTAACCTAGAATAAAATCAGGCATCTTGACCCAGAATCTAGCACCAACAGTAAAGTTGGATTGTCTCCCGAGGTGACATACCCCAGCTTGAAACTTTGGACAGTAATTCCCGTATGAGGGCAGTACAGAATCGATTACGTAAGCAGTGTGAGAAAAAAAGCCAGACGAGCCCTCATGATAATAGCTTAAAGAAAAACGGAAGAAAAAGACGGAGCAACGGTCATATGATAAAATGCTTGTCATACTTATTGACTGGGTTTCGTCAGGTTGGTCAAATATTTCCAACATCTGGCTCTCGGTCATGAGGCACGAAGCTCATGGTCATGGGGCACGAGGCAAATATTCTCCTGATCTACCCCTACACTCGGCCGATGAGTATGTAAAAGTTTTGCTCCCTTTCGCCGAATGCTCTAACATGTCTCCCTCACAAATCACGCTTCTCCCATCTGGCTAAAAGGAAAATTAAAAGATGCTAAGCTGGGTACTCAACATATTTTTGTCCGTTGTGTTTGCGAGCTCTTTTACTAGTTGCGCTTCAAAACGAAGAAAGTATAGGTTACGAAAAATATCAGGGAGCTAAGAAAGAACCCAATGAATTAGACAAGCAGACAAAAAAAAGTTGATATTTAAGCCCTTAAAATATCAATATGACATATCATTAGATACTTTTTTCCTCTTAAAGAAATGTACATTTGCCTCGTGGTGATGAAGAGCTGATTCACATATGTGCCGCCTGGGAGAACACCGCTGGATCGTGGAACTTTTACATAAATGGCTCACTTGTGGAAAGTGACCTGGACTTTGCGGCTGGCCAAGTGATCGCCAGTAGTGGTATTTTTATCTTGGGACAGGATCAAGATGAATTTGGTGGAGGTTTTGAGCAAGAGCAAAGCTTCTTTGGCCAGATGTATGGCGTGAATATGTGGGATAGAGTACTGACGGCTGAAGAAATAACCATCATGTCCACAAATTGTACATTTGGAGTCGGTAACTTTCTGAGGTGGAGTGACTTCATTCCCGGTTTGCATGGGAATGTCAAACTAACTTCACCAGCGTCTTGTGAGCCATGACGTAACAGAATGCCTTTATCCTACCTTGAATAGCAACCCAGGACCATTCAAAACAAACATGAAATGAAAATAGAAGCAGAATACCATACTTATATGCCACGACATCAAATTGATTTATTAATTGATCTTCATAAGTTATAGCAGTCGTAATCAAGCTTATTTCAGCTTTAAATAATTCAAATTTATTCACCACGGATTCCATGATATCTTTGGGAGAAGTGATACTTACCCTTGGCGAAAATCAATGCGCGCATACAAAAATTTTCAAAGGATGTAGTCCCTTAAACTAGCTAGAATGACTACAGTAAGCCTGGGATCTCGTTATCGCTGTAACCAGGAGAGGAGTATGAATCAACAATCTTCATGCCAATGCATCAAGAGGAAACAGAAAAAAAATTGTCCTCAGCTTATTTCTATCATTTTTTTTCTGCAATTCTCAAAAGAAAGCTCTGTAGAAAACTATCTGAGTGTCTTTTTTATACGAAATACAAACGTGCATTGATCATAATTAGTGTATTAACTGATGAAGGCGTCCGGCGTGAAGCTAAATTTGTGCCTTTTATCGTCGAAGTAACGCTATGCTATGAGAAGTCAGCCATAATAACTCTGTACGGTGGCCATCTACATTATCAACACAGCTGATAAAACCAAATTATATTGTTACACCCCACCCTCCCCTCCCCTCCCCAACCACCAACACAGCACACCGTGGTTTCTTCAGAAACTAAGCTCTTTTATTCTTAAACGTGAATGTTCTCGTTTTTGTGAGGGTGAATAGACAGTTTTCTAGTAAGTCGCCTGAATCTTCCAACCATTCCTCTAGCATGTTTTCCTTCAAAATCTTAGGATTTCCCTGAAGTGTTGGTAGTGATTAAAACATGAATTGCGACACTGTTCTCATCACGCAGCTCGAGCACCCACAGGTAAGGTTATACTCAGATGGCACTCTACCCCAACCTCTATTACAATTCAATCAAGCCCCCAATCAATGATACAAGAAATTAAACAACAGAGCACTTTTCAACAACTATCAGCGATTCCCACAGTGTCACTTCCTCCTTCTCGACCAGCTTTTCAGGCGGGGGTTTCCTCTTGCAAGATACAGCAAACATTATAGCTGACCCCGCTAGCATAATGGCACCAACCATGTAGAATACTGGGGTGTATGAACCCTCGATATCGGCTAAAAGACCTTTGAAAAACAAATAAACAAGCTCATCAAGAGAAGCAAATCACAGCTATATCAAAGGTATAACTTAGGCTACTTAGCACTAAGTTCAATGTTAAATGAGGGTATCAATAGAGTAATGATTTTAGCGGCGTTTTTCATCGTTTTAAAAATATAACATAAAAACATTTAAGACCAGTCGCTTACTTCCAATTCTGAGATAAGAAAGCAAAAAGAAGCAATATATAGCATGTGGCCTACTAATTCAGTAACAATATCACTAAGTATAGAAATATGATGTACATGAAATAGTCTAAGATTTTGACCGTCTTAAAATATTCTTTGTAGATAGGCTATGTTGGTAACAATAACTTTTTTTTACGGGGAACAGTTATAATAGTGTCAGTTTTTAAGCTTAACGGTTCAATATTCGACTGTTTATGGCGAACGGTTAACCCTCAGTCTTTGAGTTATTGTGAACATCAGGTGATTGCCAGGTTGGCCCATAGACAGACAACCTCATGGAATTTAAGCCTTGCATTGTTTTTCTAATGTTCGATGTAGCTGGAAATGGTGACTCAAGGCTTGACGTGGAAAAAAAATTCGTAAATGAAAATAAACAAGGATTTGTTAGCAAAGAACATAACTAAGAATAATAAATCGTTCTCGTTTGATTACAAAGGGCATTATGGTACACATTCACATTGGCATGCATGCACGAGATCGTCGCTACGAGCATTTTAGCCTTTGCTCGCTTGTCTACTATTAACTAAATGAATTGAGGGAGTAAATTTCTAAAGGAACTCGATGGTGCCGCATCAGGGAGGGGTTATTACAAGATGGTTTAGATTTACAGACCGAGTTTACGGTGCAAATTGGCCACCGCAAAAAAAGTTTCTTAAGCTGACGTTTGAACATTAGCAATTCGTCAAAGCGTATGGTGAGAGACCAATGCTCGAATCGTCAGATTTGATACTCTACAGGAAGCCAATTTACACTATCAAGTCAAATGATAAAACCAAATTATACTAGTTTTTCAGTAAATGTTTCTCGCCTCGTGAGGAATCCTCAGAAAACGACACACACTCTCGTTCCCGAAATTATTAACAACTTATATGGAATTGACATATTACACTGAGGTCTGAACCAAGAACCTCCCTCATTTCCCTCTCTGGTATGCAGTGTTTAAAATTAAATGAAAGTTGATATACCTCCCAGACCAGGACCACAAGCTGAGGATATACAGCTAAGGCAGTTGTAAAGCCCGAATCCGAGAGGTTTTAACCTTTCTGGAAGACTATTCAACACAGCAATGGCAAAACCACAACCCAGTGTTCCATCGGCTAACCCATATACCACGAAGTAGATTATAAAGTGCATATTCGTTGTTGCCATGGGAAACAGCAAGGTGGAGACCCCTTCAAGACTGGCAGCTATGGAATAGATGTACAACATGTTTATCCATGAAACGTCATTTAACCGACCAATCACAGGTCGAATTAGTAAGGAAGCTACTCCGCTGTAAATGTATAAACGTGAAGCTGTCACTTCTGTAGATCCCTTCTCCTCCAAGTAACGGACCTGTTCAAATGGAGAGAGAAATATATATTTACAGATCTAGGAGCCATCAGGGTTAATCGTCCATGATAACGCGTCGTTTTCATTTGATACGAGCTCAGTGTTTTCTTGAGCAGGTTTTACCGATAGCCAATTAAAAGTTTAAGAGGTCTTTACCTCTTACACAAGGCCTTTGTGTCAATTTTTTCCTCGAAGATCTTTTATCAGAAGGAAAATCGTTACACGTTCACCGTCCCACATTTTGTGCTGCGCTTGCATTTTTGTTGCCACGTTCCCACCCGAGAAAGAAACTCAGTGGACGGGTATTAAGCCGTGACCAGCTCTCCGGGTCCTTATTATAACAAGATATTATAATACGGCTCTGAGTCAGCTCAGCAACCAGGACTTTCTAAAGAAACAGGCCAATGAAAACTTGCTTAAGGAAAAATATAGGAGGTGAGGAGTGTGTAACCCTACTCACTCACCAAAATGATTTTAAAGCGATGCACACAAAATAAATATATATACTCATTATCCCTTCGTTGCTCTTTAACATTGGCGAAGGGATTAAAATTTTTTTCCCCTTTAAATTAATATTAAATTTTGAAGTAATATGTGGGATATGCTTCAACCTCACTTGGCTAATGAAGATTTGACCATGTGATCACGATGGTTTGAAACTTACCATATGGACTGTTGGAGTATAGTGCCCGGTGTAAAACAAGACAGCGGCAGTTGTACAAAGAACAAATTCTTTGTGTTTGAGGATTGAAATGTCCCAGAATTTGTTATTCTCCTTTTGCTGTGAATTCAGTTCCATTTTGCTAGACTCGGCTATTGGTTTATAAACAAAAGCCAGAGCACTTGTTACAACTACAATACCGGCCATTGCTGAAAATGTCCCTCTCCAGCCAAACGCTTTAAAGAGCTCATGCACAATTGGGCTCATAATAAACAAACCTCCACCGGGCCCCATAGCAATAAGACCCAAACTAAGCGAGCGCCACTTTGTAAAGTACTTAGGTACCATTATGTAGGTCAGTATAAATACACCACAGGAGCCAAAACTAAACAAAAATCCATAAGTAAAATACATGACGTAGAGACTCGTCACTTTTGAAGTCACAATGAGACTAGCCGCACAAATTATTGTCCCGGAAAATGTCACAATTCGCGCACCCAGACGATGATATAGGTTTCCGACTAAAGGTCCGAAAAGTCCAACGCCCATCATGGCAATTGAGCCTACCCAAGCTGAAGAGTGAAAAAAAGAAGAGAAGGATTTGGATCATAACTAATGATATGACTCATACACACAATTGCAAATTAGGGAAAGAACATTGAGAATTGTTGATAAATTTTCGTAATAAGAAGTTTTTTCAGTCTGTGAATCACAAGTTAGATCCCAGAAAGAGGTAGATGACACCACGTCCTGTAACAATTTAGTCCTGATATGTCAATAACGAAACAGGTAACTTTTGCATCCTTCCCCCGTTTATTGAGTTACGTTAAGGAAATCCAGCTGGTGAATCATTAGGCAAACCCTGAAATCGGTCAGCTGGTTGCGTTATTGTTTCGGCATCTTGATCATTTCCTTCCTCCCTTGTGGTCTTGTTCAACAATCATTTCGATGCTTACATTTGCTGGTTATAATTTCCAGCGTTTAATCACCCCACTAATCACAACACAGGCTTTCTCACGCGCTCGTAGATTCGCCTCTTCGCTCATTAACTAATTTAAGGCATAGCGTACCTGTTTTAGCTTTCCCCTGCTGAAATTCGTCCAAGAGAGCAGGAAACAAGATACCAAAACTATACGTGAATCCGCAAATGATAACATTTGACAAGACTGCGGCAAAACACACCAGCCACGACCAACAGCTATCTTGATAAGGAGAGACCTTTATAACGCATGTCAGAGTTTTCGCGGTCTTGCCGCCATTGCCAGGAGCCTCGCTTCCTTCATCCATGTCAACCACAACTAACTGCGAGTAAAGTAACGAAATGAAAAGGCTATTGTGACGTCATAAAAGTGATCGACGTCACTAATTCATGTCAAAGAAAATATACCGGTTAATGTTTAATGCGCATGTGCGCGAGCGTGGAGAGCAATCATCTTTCCAAACAAAATAAATAAATAAACAAATAGATAATAATAAAGATATATCAACTTCTGAAAATTATATTTGGGTGTTTTTTTTTTTACCCTAAGAGATTTAAGGCAAAATGCAGTCAGAGAGAAGGGAAGGTACGAGATTGATGTGATTGCATTACAGGCTCACAGCCGCTAAGTGGAATCACCATTCTGTTAACAAACACCGAAAAAAAATTTAAGTCACTTTCCCTTGGCTTGAATCATGAACCTTTAAGAATTTATTGTCGACCGATGTTAGGTCAATTGTCAGAAATATAATGAACTCTAACAGGAAATCAGGAAGGGATTTTTGAGTCTTTTCTTACT